GACGGACAGACAGCCAGGCAGGCAGGCAGGCAGGGGAGCTAGATGTGTTTTTGCAGACCGATGAGGCACCACAGAAGGAAAGGTAGGCAGAAAGAAGGACGACGAGAGAGCTTGCCGTTTGGGTCGGGGTTGAGTGGGGGTAAGGCTGCATGATGCCACCTTCGCTCCAGGGGCCTTCGGCATAAAGCCCTCGATCGGGTGGGCTCATGGGCACGGCAGGCTTTGGAGGGCGACAACATGTACGGGAGTTTCCAAAGACTGGACGATGGAAGTCCAAATTTCACGGGGTGCTACGACTCGACAGCCTGCAGGGCGGGGTTTTTCAACCGCCTCCCATGAGCGTGCTTTACTTTGATGCGCGCGAGGCTGCCAGCCAAAGCCTAACGAACGATGCTTGCTGTCAAGCTTGCTGGGCTCCTCGGACATGATGGACAAAAGCTAACAAGGTGTGTTGACAGGAAGAAGTGCTTATAGTGCCTTGTCATGGCGTGTGCAACACCACGCTGCCCTGCAAGCAGCTTGGCTTCCTGTCATCTCGGAGTCATGCTTGTGCCGAGCCAAGCTGTTTGCGCACGACTCTTTTCCAGTGCTCGATCATTCTATCAAAGTAAAGTAACCTATGCTGTTTGACCAAGGACGCGAACAGCCTTGGGCGGCCAATGACAGACCCTTTCACACAGGTGGTGGCTCCTCATCCAGGACCCTTGCCTGTCCTAGAGTCCTATGCTCCCCCATCAATTTCGCTAGTGACTTGTCACTCGCCTTGTGATTTCGCATCCGAGGATGAGAGCAGATGCTCCCGTGTTCCTTGCCTTTCTTACACCTCTTTGGGGTCTGGGCCCGGTGCCAAACCTCTTTTTCACGGCTTCTGAGCGGCCATGCTCCAGCAGGTTGAAGGCTTACCCAACCACTGCAAAGTACCAGCACCAAGCCGATCCTGTGCGCTTTACCTCTGTTCCCAGAGGTACACACCGCAATCTCAGCAGCCTCGACAGCGAGCCTGGTTTGGCAACGCCGCGCGGGATTTGCACTGGACTGCCTCGGGACGGAAAAAGCACGTCGTGGCAAGTGCAAGCCGTACCGTTAGTGTCTCTGTCGCTGTGGTTGTTGAGTAATGTTGAGTATGGTGGGGATTGCGGTGGAGTCGGTGGTGGCATGGAGAGCGCCCATCCGCCACCGATGCACATGTCCCACAGCGGACGCCAGGTCTGCTCTGCTTTCTAGGGCAGTAACTCGATCCAGGTTCGTGGCGCAGGCTGCTTGAAGTGCCTCCCACACGTTCATGGATTTCCTGCCATCCCGAGGCCATATAGTTCCATTCATAGAGTGCTGCTTGTCCACTGTACCACCACCACAGCCAACCGAAACCATGCACCCGAAAGACGATCTACGACATGCCTGACGGGACCGCGAAGGCTGCAGATTGATCGCTGCATAAAATCTATATGCCCGATGCTTTAATATCAGCGATCATCAACAGACATGGCGACCCCGACTCTCGCAGGACGACAGCACAACTGGCGGCAGAAGCTACACAAGCTGCCACGGCGCGCCAAGGCAGATCACCTTGCTCCGAAGAACTGAGCCCAGCAGTGCATTGGCCCCAAAAAGGTTGGGATTTAAGGAAGTTTTCGATCGGTTGAAATGCTGCATCTCGCCCAAAAAGAAGTGCAGCACCCAGCAGATGCATCTCGCAATCTTTGGGATACCAGATGCCAGATGCTGTACATGAAGGTTATGGAGAATCAGTGTTTGAATGAAGGTTTTCACATCATGCCAGCCAGGCGCGGAGCTGAAACCCGGCATGCCTGGCATTATCCACCGTGCTCGCATTTGGTTTCCGTATTGCACATACTGCGCACCGCCCAAACCTTGACAGCGAGTCACAGCGACTATCTCGCCACCTGTTGCAGGACCAATTGGATCCGGTCGAAACTGGCAGCCCGAGCTGCATCAGCCAGCTGCCCGTTGAAACCTCTTCGGTGATCTGCCGACAGGGAGGCAGTTTGTGAATTTAAAGCTGACCGGCAGCCCGGCGCATGAACATTCCGCATGAAGCTCAGTGTTGGGTCGCGTAGTATGACTTAGTATGATGAGATCAAAGCAAGAGTGAGCAATTGTCCGGCCCTTCTAGTTTGCCCTAGCCCCAGCTACAAGCAGGTACAATTTCACGATAGCCTGATCTGCATCGAACCGAACAACGTTGCGGGGCTGACGCATGCCCGGGAAAGTGCCGAGAAAACTTTCCACTAGGGTACATCAAGAGATCTCGCTGTGTGCGGATCGGTCGAACATGCTGAGGCAGGGATTGCTTGAGTTTGAGTAGCGACAAAGGCGGCTACCAGGCCGCCACTTCCCAGCCTTTGCGCACACACATACACAGAGACCTCAACTAGAGACATACGACAGGATCATGCGCAGCCATTTGACGGCGGCTCCATTTGTTCTCGTCCCTTGCCAAAGCTACCCTCATACTTGGGTCGTATCTGGTCGGAGTGTACGTATATTGTGGGACGGCTAGCGGCTAGAATTTTCTGTTTCCATGCGGTTGTGTGTTTTGGCTGAAGCTCACGCCGAATGTTTGAGAAGCGTCACATAGTTTCCATTCCAGGCAGATTTTTTTGTTGATTTGGCTCAGAACTGAAAGTTGCACAGAGAGCATCTGCAACGGCCTTTGCTGATGGATGGCACACCTTAGTCGTGTTGTGAACTGGCCTGAATTGTAGTCACCGTCCTGTGAGTTACTCTGGCTTGACCTCCACATGCAGCATGCTTGTTTCGTTTCTCATGTTTGCAGCGGCTTGACGAACTACACAATCTCATGTGGATCCTGTTGGTGACAAGCCGGGCTCAAGCTACTTCAGCAACCAAGCTCGACATGACCAAAGGTTCTGTACGATCGCCAATCTATATAATGACTAACCAAATCCGTTGAAAGCAAGAACTGCGCATCTTGGAGAGTGGAGAGTATCGTAGGGTGCTTGGGTCCCGCAAAACCATAATATGGGGCCTGATGTCGGGCCTCCCGCGCTGGAAGGTGGTTGGTGGAGGCGACAAGGGTGGGATCCTTGCACCCTGGCCGGCAGGAATTGCAACATGACTGCCTCTTCAGATTTCGCTTTAACTAATCACTGGCACAAAGACGACGTATTTGCACGGCGGAGCCTGAGGCGTAAGGTTCATGGGAGCAGTAGTACAGTCAGTACAGTTGGCGGGCTAGCTTGTGAAGCAAACGGTGCCGAACTCTGAAGGGCCCCGAAGCGGCAGGCAAAGGACTTCACCTTTCCCGCTCCAGCCCTGCTCGTGAAGCAAGGAAACAGCAAACCAGGTGCGAGAAAGGAAAGAGACGAGCTCTGCGCAGCTGAACGCCAGACTGGGCACCAATGCCATCATCGAGGTCCTGGGTTTGGAGACAGATTCCAAAGTTGCAGAAGCACGACAGTCATTTTAGGGCGGGCGTGTGTCCAGTCGTCCGAGGGAGTGGAAGGCATACTGCGATCCCGCAACCCGAGCTCGCATCGTTCGAGTCGCGAGAGTCCCAACCCGAGACCTCTGCAAATCATAGCTCCTTCTGTTGAATAATTGCTTGTTTATGCACATGGAGGGATACCTGCGCCTACTTTTTTTGCCTTGCTACTGCCACTGCTGGGGCTGGGGGGGAGGGGGTGGGAGGGGGGGAGGATAATAACATTCTTTGTTTAACGGGGTTCATGCTTCCTTGGCATGGATGAATACTATCGTATCATACTATATCAGACTATATCAGCATAGCATGTGATTCTTACCCATCTCCACATTATTCCTCATGCGCAGCACTAGTTAAATCCTTGTGAAAGCATAGGCGAATTCTTATTGGTTGACAACGATTCTTCCATAATCCTGCCCAAAACCGCATCGGATCAACTTCGTC